ACACACACACTCTCTCTCTCACACACACACACACTCTCTCTCTCTCTCACACACACTCAGTTATCTCTCTCTCCGTGTCTCGGCTGACAAACAGCCAGCGAGGCGTCGCGCGTTTCTCCTCTCGCTGGTTTTTAATCATCTCTGAACAATGTGGCCCAGTGAACGCGCCTCCTCCTCCTCCTCTTCCTCTAATGCACCGTTCTGCAGGAGGCACGCAGAGCAGCAGGAGGAGGAGGAAGAGGAGGAAGAGGAGGAGGCCCGGCTCTCTTTATCTGCGTGAACCCACAGCTGGCCTCCTCTTGCATCCTGCTCCTCGGCTCTTCTCCCACTGCTCTTCTTTCATCATCGTCGTCGCCCTCCTCTTCCTCCTCCTTTTCCAGCACAATCCTCTTCCTCTCTTCCTTTCTGCTCTTCGTCCTCCTTTTTTGTCTTACTCCACTGTCTCCTTTTCATCCTACTTACTCCTCTACAGCTCTTTATCTTCCTCCTTCTGGCATCTTCCTCCCTCTCTTACAGCTCCTTCTTCATCCTCAATTTTACCTTCCGTTGTTCCCTTCTTCCTCCTCCGATAGCTGCGTCCACCTTCCTCCTGCTCCTCCTCTTCCTCCCACACAAGCTCCACATGTAAAAAGAACTGTAGCTTTGATTTTTATGTTATTTTTGTGAGTTAAAACAGAAATCTGCGTTTTCAAAGGATGAAGACGACGTTTATCTCCACAAAATGTTTGTAAATGAATTAATTTTTAATCTCCGACAGATTCACAGATAACAGGCTGCTTCCACTCTGCAGCCATCTTGTATAAACTCAGTATTGTGCTCCATTTAATTCTGACTTTTCTGCATGATGGGCTCTGCAGAATATTCATGGCCTCGCCGTTTCCCTCAGCGATGGTAATGAAGGTCAGTTACTATGGATTCAAGGAAAAATGGTTCATCACGCCTCCTTGTTTTACATAAAACTGCATGTGTGCATTTTGCCTGCAGACGACCGAATATTCTTCAGTGGAGAAATTATCAGAAACTTCATTCAAAGTGCAGAATTAACAGTTTGCTGTTGAGGAAGGAGGCAGTGATGAGCTGCTTTTCCTTGAATTCTTAATTATCGACCTTCTTCGCCGTTAACGGCATGTTCAGTGAACGCACTCGAGTCCGGTTGGAGGGTTAAAACACAGAATATTAACGGCATGCAGATAAGGAGGAATAACCTCTGCTGTGTCATCTGTTAATGTGTGTTAATTTTTTATTCTAAAGCGCCAGAATCTCAGAACAAAACGATGTGTGCAACGTCAGACCAGACTCCATTGACAAAACCAGTGATTTTACCAAGCAGAATATCATAAAAACTCACAAAAAACGTCTTTGTCAGTCTTTCTAACAATCAGCAATGTTGCTTTGGTCAAAATATATCCGTAATTCAAAGAGTTAGATGTGAAAATATCATGTTTGTTAATCCTTAAGGTCAAACACAACAGCATTATGGAAAAGATCCCTACAGATAAAAACCTTTATATCAGTATCACTCTCATTTTAGCAGATTATTGTTAAAACTCACTCAAAACTGGACAGAAACAGAATAAAACTCATGAAAACCGTCTCTGTTAGTGCTTCCATCAATCACCAACTCTGGCTTTGGAAACAAACCACAGAAAGGCTGCGATACATCACAGGCAGAGTGAGTGTATTACTGTACATTATTATTATTATACATAATAATATATATATTTAATACAAGCCTGGAGGGGATCTTTAACCAACTAGTTATTAGACATTAATCACAGAGGCAAACAGTGTAAAGTTCTTCATCAGTTCACTTTATTCGCAGTAACCTCGAACTGACCCGGAGTCAATAAAAATCTGCCAAATCGGGTCGAATGACGTTAAATTATGAACCAGTTTTGAGCGCCGTCTGGTCAGAGGTTAGCGTACAGACTTTCAATCCCAACAGAAACGGAGACAATCCGTCCAAAAACAAGCTCGAACCTTCGTCTTCTTTTTTTGCTTCATGGCTTCATCTTCGCATCAAAAGTCAAAATAAATAACTCTCAATCCGCTAACGCCGGCAGGCTGCTGGGTTTTCAGCTCTAAAACATCACCAGCTGCGGCGGAGGAGCTTCGCCTGCTGCCTCTCTTTAAGTTCAGGGTTGAACACGAACATTCAGACAGGAAATAGGGCAGCGATGAAGCACAAGGGCCATTTTGGGATGTCCTGCACCGGGTACAAGATGGCGGGGCTTGGGCGTAGAGGTGGAGGTGGATGTTGGTTGGTCTTTAAATTCCTCCCTTATGATCTGCTCCACTTTCCCATGATGCAACCTGCTGAGATGGCACTTCTATTTCCAGCAAACAAACACACACACGAGCAGAAGAACAAGGAAACGGTGGGATTTTTTTTAACCATGAGTGTGTTTTGGCGTGCCGGAGGTGACAGACAAGCGGGTGGAGGGATCGAGACGATTTGATCCGCTTCATTTCTCCCTTCATGTATATATAGATGTGATTTATTTCCTAATGCTCGCACAGCAAACAGAGCAGGGGAAGCTGGAAGCAGGAAGCTAGTTATTAATAACACAAAGTGCAGCGCTGCCTGCTTTTAACGGTGAGACCGCTCGCCGCAGGGTCTCAGGTAGGGGCCGGAGCCGATGTTTGTTCGGTTGTTATTTGTGTTGAGTCCTGCGAGGAGAGAAAGTCTGAACATCACTGGAAACCACATCTGTCCTCTTTTAAATAAAACAAAGAAATCCTATATTCTTTACATCCTTTTCAAAGCAAACAGGTGTTTAACTATTGTTCGACGTCAGACAGCTCAAACAGCTCGTAACTAAACACGAGGAAAAAGGCCAAAAACGATGAAAGAAACCAACAAATAAGTTTGATTTAAGAGAGAAAAATTAAAAGTACACAGACAAGGTTGGATTGGATTCACAAAGGCCTTTTACACCAACAGAGAACCAGCTCTGTTACGGTTTAAGCATCTAGTTTTAAACCCGTTTTAACCAGAACTAGACTGGTTCAGTTCCCAGGTAGAACCAAAAAACAATAACTTCCTCGGGAACCGAAGCGATGCTGTACTTCTGCTCAAAACTGGTGGAAACACGGGGCTGGTTTCGCTAGATACCGGTTAAATAATGGTGAGAAAATGGGGGTCGAGAGAGGCTGCTGAGGCTCCTGGTTCTGGTTCTGGTTCATATTCTGGACCCTCTCCTCCTCCCGGCCGTCCAAAGCTCCTCTTTTACCAGCAAAAACTCCTCCGGTGCTCCGAGCTAACAGGCTAACGGAAACTACAGTTAGCAGTAAGCGGTTATATAATCTTACGGTGGCCTCTCTGGACACTTTTCAGGGGTTTCTACTGAGAATAAAGACGGGAAGCGGCAAGCGAGTCCGGTTACAGTCACCGAGCATTTGTTAACCAGGAGCCTGAGGATTTTAAAGGACAGCTCCGGTGTGGGTTGACCGTCGCTGTGGCGTTAGTTCGGGGGTTGTTGCCGGCAGTGAATCTTTCCGTGGAGATAAAAGCAGTAAAAGAGAGAGTCGTCTGTTTCTGTGTGATGATCTGCTGGTTTTACTGGTTCAGGGTCCTGACAGCGCCCAGTTGCCATGGTGACAGAGTATCTGCAGAGCCAGGGATGCTGGTCTTTATCAGCCCGGGCCGGTCAGGTGTGTGTGTGATTGAAATGTTTTACCGAGCATTGTGTGTGTGTGTGTGTGTGTTGGTGAATTAGGACACCGTTTGTTTGGCAGCACTCAGTGTGTTTGCACATAGTGTGTGAGTGTGAGTGGCGTCCAGCGTCCCCGCAGCGCTATAGGGAGGCTAATTGTGTTTTAATTACAAAACCATCAAACACACAAAGTCAGACAGCTTACCTTCCGACCACAGAACCGACGCACAGTGAACGCAGCAGAGATCAGTGTTCAGTCTGCTTTTATTAAAACAATGTGAGTCCGCGGGGGAAAGAGTTTGAACACGTGTCGGAGAATTTCACTGTAAAATAACACAATGTAATGTTAGCTTATTCTAAATGTTTTTATTATTACTGTAGGGTATTTTGTGATTAAGAAATGAGGGGGAAAAGATAATGTAAGAGTGGGCTAACTTCATTTTCACCTCCAGTATGTGCAACTTTATTCTGCTCATGGAGGTTAGAAGAGTTATAAAAGTTAAGATCTCAGTGTTTTTATCATGTCACTTTTTTAATTTTGGTATAAAACGTGTTCAGATGTGGTCAGGGATTGAATGGATGTAGGGAAGTAAAATATAGATGACTGGCTTGAAAGTATATTCAACATTAACAGTAACATTAGTACTACTCCATGCCCTCACTATTATTTAATAATTTAAATCACTGAATTTGATGTTACTTTGTTTTATATTCTTATTCTAACATCATACACTTTAAGATCTTGTATCACACATTTAAACATGTTTCATGTTTTTCTATTTTATCTGATGTTCTGTCCGTTTTTATATAGAAATTGTATTTAATTTTATGTGTATTTTCTACAGTTGTAATTACAAAGAAGGCCTTTAACTGATCAGTAGTGAGAATTGTTCTTCTAAAGTTACAGATGAATATATATATATATATATATATATAAAGATTTGAGGCTGAATTCGGTGTCGGTCAGAGAGAAAAATCCGCTTTGGGCTCTTTTAAATAAAAAACCAAGGATGAGATAATCAGAAGATGTAAAATGAGATAAAGACGACATAAAAGCAGAGATATGACGAACCGATGAAATGATCCTTGTGTGGTTTTGAAGAGTGAATTTAAAGTGAGTCTGAGAGTGTAAAGTAATGAAAGTTTTGGGAAGTGATTGTTCCGGTCGCTGCGTCCAAATGACTTCTTTTAAAGTTATTTTTTACGGTCTGGTTTCCACTTGATGTCTTTAATCATTTAAACTGCTTCATCCGCATCAGATCTCATCTCGTATGTTAAATTTAGTGTCATTAAATGTTTGAGGAACTAATCTTTACTCTTTCTCTCTCTCCGTCTGTGTGGCAGCTTCCTCACCGCCGGGTTACCTTCTCCACCGCCAATCAGGCACAGGACCTCCAGGACGCGTCCCAGCACAGCTACTACGACAGCGGCCTGGAGGAGTCGGAGACGCCCAGCTCCAAGTCGTCTTCGGGGCCGCGGATCGGGCCGCTGGCGCTCCCGGAGGACCACTACGAGCGGACCACGCCCGACGGCAGCATCGGCGAGATGGAGCACCCGGAGAACGGTAAGACCAGGTGGAGTTTCCCCTCCCTCTACTCCTCTCTTCACCTCCTCCACCTCCTCCATCCATCAACACACACACGCCAATAAAACGCTCATTACACGCGGCCGCCGTGTCAGAAAGCGGCGCGTCAGCAGGTTGTTTATCCTTAATCAGACTCCCACAATCCCTTGCGATTTTGTGTGTGCACCTTTAGTTAAAGAGGCGTGTGACCTCACAGCGGCACAACACAATCAATATGCAACATAATCAACTCCCACGGCTTTAACGAATTAACATCCCAATTATGTAAATCATACCGGGTCCAAGCTTTCCATCAGCTCCACTTATAGATCCACTTAGCATTTTGGTCATCATCAGATTAGCGTGTTGCTTCTTACAATGTGTGTTTGCCTGTTTAGCATTAGCAGCTTTTAAGTATTCACCACAACACAACACCAAAGTGTCTTCACCTCCACTTTTGAATGTCTTAGCATATTGCTACCATCCATGACTCAGCGTTTGCCGTTCTGCCTGTTTTTGATGTAGTAAAACATTCACTAACGTTACTGCACGTTGCTGAAAGGTGAAACGTATGCTAACGATGCTACGTCGCGACACAGATCTACGTAAACATGTTGTTTGCTTTTGATGTGTTTGAAGCCAGATTAACATGGAACAAACTAGCTGCAATCATAAAACAATGAAATTTGGGAAATACAACATTGTTTTTTTATGACACTGACGTCGATGCTGAAGTTATAGTTTTGGTAACTTAACAGTTGAAAAACACGAAGGCTAGTTGTGCTAGCGTGTTATAACTATAACTTTTATGTTATTGCCTGTTTTAATGTAGAAAATGAGAAAAATGTTGTAGACAGATTGTTGGCCGTTATTAGTAGCTGTGTTAGCTGTAACGCAGATAAGACCGTTAACGATGCTAATATGCTACAAATTGCAAAGAACACTTTACTTTTGAGCTTGAAGTCGGTTTAGCAAATGCTTTAATGTAGACACATTGTAGTACCGTTAAATAACAAAATCTGTCTTTATGTTGTATTAGCTTATTGATTAATAAAGTGTGTGATTGATAAAGCAGTTTAAACTAAAAGAATAACATAAATTATGAATAAAAACACATTTTGAAACAGTTTTTTTAAGAGATATTCTCGTGTGGTTTTGTTGTGTAGATATTTCACACGCTGTCTGACACGCTACAGAAATCAGGTCGTGATTTACAGTCGTCATTGGCTTTTTATTGTTTGGTATAAATAACATAATTTACCTGCTTTCATCTAAACAACACACCACCATCCTCTCCTTTAAACCTATGTGACTGTTCATTGTTCTGCTGTGGCTGTTAACGCCTCGTTACCACTTACGCCAATTAAGCTAAATAGCTGAAACTGGCAAAAAATAGAAAGTGTACAGAGAGAGAGAGAGAGAGAGCGCGAGAGAGGTTCAGTTTGAATGTCATTCCTCGTGTCCTTTTGTGAGGGCGAGAAGACCGACTCTCTCTCTCTCTCTCTCTCTCAACCCACAGGTCGTACGTATGCCATCTGTAAACACAATTATTCACAGCTGCTCGCACGCCCACAGGCTACCGCCACCCTGTGTGTGTGTGTGTGTGTGTGAGATAGCGATGGAGAGCGTGTAAAGTGGCTGTATCTCCCCCCGCGCACACACACACACACACACACACACACACTGGAATGAGGTCAGGCTGATGTTGTGTGTTGCAGTGTGAGGGGTTGGTGTTGTACAATCTTCCACTTTGATGGTCAAACATGTTTTAGCTGCAGGTATTTTCCCAAGGAAGTGTGTGTGTGTGTGTGTGTGTGTTGTACCAGCAGAGAGGTCAACAGATTACAGCTCGTCTTCTGAGGATTAACACACCACCACAGATACACTTTACTCTCTCGCTTTCTCGCCTTCTGATTCAAAAAGTTAAACCTTTATTGCCACGATAAGCCGAGCACTGTCTCCCAGTTTCCCGATAAAAGTGATGCGATTACTCCTTTTTCCAACCAAACCCCATTCAAGATTCGACTGATTTTAGCCCTGGGTTTGAACATTTTTGCATGAACACACTCCAGTTAGCACACCGTATGCAGCTGGACGTAATTAAATCTCAACATTAAATGTTTAGTCAAGCAATAATTATAGCAATAATGAACCAAACAGTAGAATATGTTTTTCCTAATTAGTTTTTTGAGGCAGTGACTCAGCTCGGTTTGTGTGTTCGGTCTCTTTAGCGGCCTGTTTAGCCGTGTTTCCCCTCTGCTGCTGAGCGTATCGATCACTCGGTTGTGTGTGACTGATTGTTGATCGGTCAGATCTCAAGTGCTTCAGACAGATTGATGAAGAGCTGCAGGAACAGACTGACTGGCCTCAAACACTTTCTCTATCTACATCTCTTTAAACCGACTTTATGTCTTTACCCTCAGCAGCCGCTTGTGCCTCCAGTTAGTCAGATTTGAATATGATTGCTACTTTCTGCATTCAAAAATTCAATTCATCCATCTTCAAAGCAATATCCTGTGTTCTCACTCAAAAATTACATTAGCGGCTCCCAAACATGCAGCCTGTATTATTTATTTCCTCGATTTAAAGTTAGAGGGAATTGCAGTCTTGTACAGCAGCCGACAGTTATACAAACAAGGTTACAGCTGCAGTTCTGTGCTGGATTCTTAATGTTCACATCATGTGACTCTGAGGTGGTTGTGTGTTGCTATTTGTGGAGATGGATGTGTTTGCACTTAAAGAGAACATGTGACCGGCAGTGGAGCGTGATTTCAGTTTGTTCTTAATGCATGTTGTTTGCTTTTCCACCTGCTTTTATAGGTGGATTATCCACATGTATATTTAAAGTAATATAATCTGGATATAATCTGGATGCTCTTGACATGTGACAGAGTTCACACAGACATGGTTTTACTGTTGTTCTCTTTATTGCTGATTCAGACTTACTTACATACCCTCCTTCCTCCCGGGGTCTCAGTATTTCACCGTACAGCCTATATAACTCCAGAAATATGAGGGGCACATCGGCGAAGAAGGTTATTTTACTCAATGTGTGTTTGCAGCTTCAGTGGATTGTAATGGATGCGCTCTGCTGCAGGTAGAGGTGGGAAGTGTCGTTCAAATACTTTGTTTCTGTACTTAAGTTTAAGTTTTTTCTTTTTATCTTTTTTCTTTTACCAAAATTTTTACTTAAATATCTGCACTTTGTACTCTTTATATTCTCAGTGCGAAACAGAAAAGCCGATAGAAAGAGAATCCATTTTGAAGAAGAAGCATTTTTTTTCGCTTTCACTTGAGTAAAGTTTTATCTGTATTTACTTTTACCACAATAAAGCGACCACCGACCTGATTATTCTGCAAGATCGCAACTCTAAATGATTGAGAACGACTGCTTTAAAGGTCAAAAATGTATGAAAACAAATGAATATTAGTTTATGCCAGAGGGCCGAATTATTCTGAGAATTATAAGTAAAGTAGAAATGCTGTTGTACTTATTATTATCTTGTTATTTTGATTCTTTAATAGTCACCGGAATACAAGAAACGAAGCTTCTGAAACTCAGTTTTCTGTTGGAGGACCTGAAGTTCCCCCACTTTGGTTTCAATCCTCCAGTTCCTGAGGTCTGAGGGTTGGGCAGTACGGCCTCAGACTGGCGGTAGATTGCAGTGATTGCCTTTACAGTATTTTTATTGTTTTTTGTTTGTATGCAACAACTTATCATCGCGGCATCATGCTCAAGTGTTAGGAGATAAGGAAGAGCAGGAATGTCGGCTGATTCCGTAACACACCAAACAACGGTTGGTGACATTTGGCTGAACTTCAAAGTGGTTTCTAGTAAATATTCCTTAAAGTGGAATTTAACATTCCACACTTAAAATGCCTTCACCTTTAAAATAAAAGCTCAGTGGATCACATTCAGTTTAATTAGGTAGAACTGCAACAATTAGTCGATTATCGATTTGATTGATTCATTGTTTCAGTCATTTTTCTAGCAAACATATGAAACATTTGCTGCTTTTCTTTGTCATTTATGATAGTAAACGAAGAATATTTAGGCTTTGGACGGTTGTTTGGACCAAAGAAGCAATTTGAAGACGTTACTTTGGGCTCTGGGAAATTGTGATGAGCATTTGTTGTTGATTAATTGTAAAAAATGATCTGCAGGTTAACTGACAATGAAAATAATTGCTAGTTGCAGAACTAATTTTAGGCAATTTCTAAAAATATTTCATTAGAAAGAAGAAGAGACCAAAGACGAAGTATATTCTATGTTATTATTGTGTTTCCAAGACAAGACGTCATCTTGCTGCCCCACATACTCACTAGAGATCTGTATTAATCTGCCACAAAAAGTAGTACCTGACAAATGTTCTATTTCTTCGTGTTTGTGAGCAGCAATTATAAACTTGTGAGCCATTTTTAAAGGCTTTCAGTAGGAAGAGAGACAGACTGACACATTGTTGTTGTTGGTATTTTCACACAGTTTGTTAACAGTAAGAGAAACTCAGATAAACTGGAGCTCTAACCTTTAAAAATGGGCTTTGTTTTCGGTGTGTGTGTTTGCCACATTTGGCAGGTGTCTCGGCCAGTCACACTCGGCTCTGGTGTTTGCTGTTTGCCCGTCCTGCCTCTGCCCCGCTGTGCCCAAACTGCCCACACAGACAACACAAACATGTTTTCTGTGGTTTGTTCTGCCTAGCACAGACGAAGCTCGGTGTGGTGAGATCTCTATCATATCACTCCTCCTCCTCCTCCTGCTTTCATCCTGCGCTCTGTCCTGTAAATGGTCAGATAATGGACGTTAATTCCATCAGCCCGTCTTCACTCTGCTAATGCACCCACTTCCTGTCTGTGATGGACGGATGGAAAGAGGAGGGGGGAGGTAAAAACCAAACCCTGAGAGAGAGAGAGAGAGAGAGAGAGAGAGAGGAGAAGGATGTAGTTTGTGGGATTTGATTGCATGTGTGTGTTTGTGGTGAGAGCTAGAGAGAGGAAGCAGT